CAGGATTTGTTGTTTTCATTTGAATTTCGTATAATCGAGACGATATTTTCACTTGTTCACATTGGACACTCAACTGAATTTTTTGCAGCTCAACAAGTTGTTCCATTGCATGTGCCATTGTTTTTGCCGCTTCAACTTCTTCTGTTTCAGGATCAATTTTTTTTCTTGCATCGACATCAGTCCTACAAAGTATAACAATTATCTCTCACTAACTAGATCAGTGCAAGTTTATATTCAAAACTTTTTCTTCTATTAGGTATCCACTGTCTTTCTGGATCGAAAATTCTGACTGCAAACAGGTCAAAGTCTCGTGATAGAATGAATATTCCTCAGTCCTCTAAACATACCCTTGTATTCGTCTTCAATTTCATTTTTCGTTTTGTTGAATGGTCCTCTAACTGCATCAAACTGGCACCAATACTATGCGTTTTTTTCTCATGTGGTAACGGTATTTTGGGTGTAGTTGTAGTCATTTGCATTTGAAAACAATCGTCATCAAAATCGTCATCTACGAGATTATCATCGTCGAAACTGTTGGTATTTGCGCTTGAAACGAGGCCTGGGAAAACAAATTCAAGTTTTCCATACGGTGTATCGAAGAAGGGGAGAGATAATCCACCGTATCTGCTCCTCCTGGTACTCCTTCGAACGACACGTCCCCTTAAATAGACATCATTGATACCTTACTTTACATCAAACAATTGTTTTAATCTACTCACATACCGATAATATCAACCACTTTTTCTTCCACTGCATCTAAACGTCTTGGTGGTGGACCGCCTCCGGTTTTTTTCATTTGACGACTATTGTCAGCTGCTTTTGTTTCAACAGAAAAATGTACTTACTAAGTTAAAGGACTAATATCCAATATATAGTGAACTGAAACTTTTAGCGATAAATCATTGTTTTAATGACAAAGATAACTACAATTTCTCCAGTTACACATCTAAATATAGTAGATTACTTTAGTTTCAGTTCTCGTTAGACCATTATCTTTATCAACTGTGAACAAGTGGCTCTACCTTTTACCAATGAAGAATAGTTCAACCATTTTTTTCTACAATTCAGTGCAGAACGTTCGGCATATCCCAGTGCACTAATTTTATCGGCCACACGTATCCAGCATTTTTGTTTCCCTTCAAGTGTTATTTTATTGCTAAACTTTGAAAAAAGAGTCTTTTCGATTTCGTGAATGGATTCAATCAATATTCTTCTTTTTTCGGCTCGCCAGTTCGCACTTCTGTTTGTAGACATTTCAGTGAATCAGAAATATTTAAACGAAATATGAGAATGCTATCTAAAAGTTTGGATACATCGTTTACTATTTGTTTGTTTTTTTGATCTTTTTTCTCTCTTTTCCCATATTTTTCATACGCTCACGCCATACCCAAACTATCACGAACTCTATTCTTTTTGGAAAAAGTACGCATAGATTGCAATGCATCTAGGCATCAGTTGAGTGCATGGATTTAACTTAAGACCGTGCGACTAAGTTGTGCACTTAACTTTAAGTAAAACTTAAGTTTGAAGTTGTGCAACACTTTAATACTATGTCTAGTGAAAATTTCAGCTCTCTGTTTCTGTTCTGGATAGAGACGTGAATTTTTCTATTTTTCTCAGCGAAAAATAGATAAATGGCCATAACTGTTGAAGGAAGAGCCATGGAGAAGAATCCTTTTAGCTTTTTACAACCTCGATACCCTCTATCGACTGGCGCATAAATGAACGAAAATGGAGGTATAGATGTCCATAGCGGCCTGACCAAGCGTAACGGACGGAAAATTTGACGCACTCAGAGACAAATATTTCAATGACAGCAAATACTACCGAGTTGAAAATTTTTTCTATGGTGATATACCATGAGTTCTATCTCTGGTAAAAATTTCAACTCATGCAGTTCATAACTCACTGAGCAGCGAGCAGAATAGTGTGCATTCGTAACAGACGAAAAAATAGATATGAATTAGCAAGGCTTGCAGAACTGTCTTTTTTACTCTGAAAGTAGAGGTGAGAGAAAACAATAGTTCACATAAAAAATGTAGAGAATTACTTGAGCTATCGAATGGTGTGATTGATTTTTAAAAAATATGTTATCAGCATTCCATGGAGTAAAAAAGATCATTGTAACAGACGGAAAATTTCGTAACAGACCAAAATATTCCTTTGTTGCTTTGTGCGGTGGTTTATGTCACGACTTTTTATATATATTTAACAGTAAAAGTACATATTTTACATAAATAGAAGCGTTTATCATAAAACAAAGCACGTTTTCATGACCTATTATGACAGACAGCATTGCTTCTTCAGGAAAATTTAATAGTTTCGAAACTCTCGAAGTTTACATATTTCTCTACTTGTGAGGTTTTCCACATAAAAAATGCACCACATTCTCTAATAGAGCACGATGTGTGTGTGTGATATCTTGTTTATTTTGCATCGAATCATATAGAACGCACACAAAAACCAAATGTTTCAACAAATGCTTGAAGGATACAAAAAACACTAAAATATTGATTCTTTCCACAACTACTCGAAAGACATGAAAAAGCCTTTATCACTTTTTGAGTAATGCTTACATTCTATCAGGTCGACATCAAATACTGTGAAGGAATGTACTTTCTGAATGCCGGGTACAGTCTTCACGTTGCCATATATTTCTTTCAGCTCCTCTTGTGCACCACCAATCTGGGTCCCTAGTATCTCTTCGACATGTATTGCCGTTGTTTTCGCTTGAGCGATCAAAACGAATTATTCCGCGTTTCGGCACTGCTGTCCGCTCAGAATTGCTTAGTGGACCATACGCTTGATTGTACCATCCACGACACCCTTCTCGTGGGAAGTAGCAAAAAAAATGCCAGGACATGAGTACGTTATACATGCGTGAACGGTGCGAAAGGTTTTTGAAGAGAAAATGCTGCTTGAACTGAGACGCAACGCCGTCGGAGAAGAAAACGATTTCTTGCATTTTGTCTTCGGCTCTTTGTAAGGCACACAGGAGATGTTTCGAGGGCAGCGTGGACTGAGTACTTGTTGTGATCGACATAGTCAAAATCAAACACATACGAGTGACTCGTACAGTTTTGACACCTTGCATGAGCCGTAAATAACGACAGCTGTTTTTTGAAAAGTAGGCGCTTTGGCTCTCGTTCTGTCCGATCATCAAGAAGTTTTCACTATAATCCACCTGCACTAAGATTGTGTGCTCATCGACAGATTCTTTCATTTCTTCGAAGTACTGTGTCTGTTGATGTTTAATGAACACGTGAGCGAGAAAGCCACGTAATTTCGCCGCGAGTACGTCTACACATTCCTCAGCAGTACCTGAGAAATCTTCCTTGGAAACTCGTTTGCTCTTGGTCGTCCACTGAGTCCATGTGACAGCACTATCTACTTTCCTGATACACTGGCGAACTTTTTCATTGAAACGAGGCTTGCATTGACGGCACTGATTCGTCATGCAGGATTTGCATTTTTCATCACACCACCTCCGTGGTGAACGACCGTAAATCGCTGCAGATTGGCCCACCGAGATGCTTGTTAAGTGCCTTGAGTAGGAATTCGACATTAGCATGGTACGAAACATAAGCAATGACTTGCTGAAGTTGTGGTAATGTTAAAGTTGGTGAACCTCTGATTTTGTGGAGCCTTGAACGGGCTATCTAATGATGTAGTTAGAAATATGCTGAAAGAAATTTTAAGGTCACTAGAGCGTCTAGAAATCCAGGTTTTTCCGAAATCTCTATATCAGGATCCTGAGAAGTTACCTCAATCTTCTTTGACGATTTGGATAGAATTCGACGAAAACTTTCATTTGAGACTTGACTGAAGGTTCTACGTTAGGGAATGTGACTTCGGCATCGTTTACAAGTTAGGCGAAACCCGCTTGAAAACAGCGGAAAATGCTCATTTCCGTCCGCTAGGAGAGTAATTTGCACATAATGTTTTTCCCTAGTGAGATAGAACCTGCAGTTTTCGCCATTGGATTCATCATGCAAAACTGCTTCATTTGATGCGTGTCTCGTTATTCGCCTCAAAAGCGGATGTAATGGTGATAGATATCATATGGATTAAGCTTTTTACATTTGCTCTTATAATAATCAATTACATTTTCTTATATAATTATGATTATTCAAGCTTGAATCAGCTTTTTCTCGTATTAGTATATTTTTATAATTTTGTGGGATCATAAAAATATTTTTCAAAGTCAAAAATGATTTAAAACAGAAATAATTTTTCGTATTTTGGGCGAAGGCGGAAATTTACTAAAATTTGGTGAAACTTCTAGCTGCGGTCAAATTGCAATTCTGAAGATCAACGACAACTCTCTACAATCCGTTTGGCGATTTGCACCACAGATAATCCGAATAAAAATAAGAAAATTAATGAAAAAGCTATGACAAGCATTCAACAATGCTCCGAAAATTTTATTAATTTTTATCAACAACACAAAATCAGCTAGACACCCGATCTGTCTACCACCGACTTCAACAGGAAGTTTTTCCGATGACAAATGGCCAAGAAATAGTAAAAAAACAACGAAAATTTCCAAGACTCTAATTATTCCGAAGTACTCTATGTGTCATGAAACAGTCAAAAATCATTCTAAAATCACTCTAAGAGTCTTGCCACAGACTGTGGCCCAACGAACGGCAATGAGAAAAATTTTTGCTGACGAAACTATTCCTCGGGTGTCAAATGAGGTACTGAATGTAATACTTTTTCCAGAGTAACGGAAAAATTTTGTGAAAAATTGTTTTAAGTTTTTTAATAATTTAAATTTGATTTCCGTTTCTTCCGAAGCCCTGGAACTACTCTATTCTTCATTCTCAGATCTTCTGAAATCAAGAAAACATAGGTTATCGAATACTCTGAATCTTGTGACAATGTTAATTTTCAGAAGAGAGTACAAGAACGGAGAGAAAACCTGTACTATGTGAAATAATCCATTTTGGGCTATTTTCATCAAAAATTAAAAAAATTATAACTCAATCAAAATCCTAGTCTTCTGAAAGCAAATATAGTTTTGTAGCGCTTGAAAAGCTAATTCAAATGATGTATCGAGTGATTATTTTCAAAGAACTGTTGATTTGTAAATAAAAGTATAAATCGCTGAACTATCAGTAATCAGCATTAATTAGGATTGATTAATGATAATCTATATCCCAGCAAAGCTTTTTCTAGAATGTCTTATGCGATCATCATCATGCCCCCTCCCGCCCTTAAATTCATTGCACAAGAATCGTAATCAATAGTTATTTATTCAAAATAAAATTGAGCTTGTAATGGTCTAAATGCACTTGGACTACACTAAGACTACATTAGTGAATGCTCAAGGCCAAATGCGTTCAAGACAATCTAGAAATACGCTTCGATGCACACGTTCAAATAAAGTCAAGTTCATAAATATCATGCTCTGCACTAGATCAGGTTTTTTTCTCTTTCATTAACTGATACTATCATTTCACTTCACAATTTGGCATCAGATTTATTTGTTTGCTGTATTCATTTCTCTCTTCATTTTTTCCTCTTGTGCTTTGCTTTGTTGCTCTATTTTTATCCTCGTTATTCTTTTTTTGTCCTATTAAGTGTATTATACTATTTTCCAAATCATTTAATCGTAATTTAATGGCGTGGGTGACATCTACGTTAATGTAAATTTCTAACTCATTGTCTCTTTCTTGCTTTGCACTTTCTTTTGGATTTTTAATTAACATTTAAATTAAATATGTCTTCTTTTACAGATGTTACATCTTGCCTCTGAAAAGTTCGTTTTTGTCCTTTGTTGTAATTTAGAAG